GGGGGGTGGGGGGGACGCTCCCCAGCAACAAATAGGAGGCCTCTTGTCAAAAAAAATAATAATAAAAAAAGTGAAAAAAATAATAATAATAAAATCGGTAAGCCCTGACGATTTCGGGTCCAAAAACGCAGAAATTGCGGCTAGGAACGGCGAAGTTAAATGAACAAAGGAGTGAAGGAGGAAAAAGAAAGACAAAAAAAAAAAAAGAGGAAAAGCGTAATCTCATGGAACAGGATGCTGAAAGCTAACGGAAGTTCAATTAAAATAAAAATAAATAAAAATAAAACAAGAAGCCAAGTGAAGTCACCGTTGAGTATGGGCGCATGAGAAGCTTGACACAGCTGCTGCGCATAACAAGTCGGAGAAGGCCCGCAGTGCATGGCGCTGGGCACTGGAACGATGATGGAAGCGATTCGACGGTGGTGGGAGGGGAGATCGGCCTAATGAGAAGTGATGATGGATGGCTAATTAGCAGACACAGCAACGATGAGAATGGAGATGGAGACAGCAACAAGACCTCCGAGTCATAAAGAAATGGAGAGGGAGTGATGATGAAGATGATGGAGATGGAGATGAAGATGATGGAGATGAAGATGAAGATGGAGATGGAGTTGGAGATGGAGATGGCGGAGATGGCGGAGATGGCGGAGATGGCGGATGGGGGAGATGGAGGAGATGGGGGAGATGGAGGAGATGGGAGACGGGAGACGGGAGATAGAGACAGAGATGGGAGGGATAGAGATGGGAGTGATGGAGGGAGATGGGGACGGAGTGATGGAGGGAGATGAAGACCTCCACCTCAAGAGAGTGCAGGCAACAGGAAGGCCAATGCTATGGCGACGTGCCTCCGATCATGACCACGATGGAGGTATAGAGATGGTGGGGTGAAGATGGACTGATGGAGAGAGAGATGGAGGAGAATGACGCAGGAAGAAGATCGAGATGGAGGCCGCGATGGAGGTTGAGACGAGAAGTTGAAATGGAGTGATCAGAGAGATCAGGAATAACGACGAAGGAAGAAGACGGCGATGGTGGCCACCAAGTCCAGGTGAAAATGGAGTGATGAGAGAGATCGAGAATAATGACGACGAAACAAGACAGACATGCAGATGGAGATATGGAGATCGAGAGGGAGATGGAGATGGAGATGGAGATGAGAAACGGGAGGTGCAAATGGACCAACGAGCGAGATGGAGGAAACTCACACGAGAAGAACGATGGAGATGAAGGGCCCCGCGTCCACAGAGGCAAATTGCACTTCTGCCCCCGCGTCCGCAGAGTTCACCCACGAGTTACCCGTCTACTGTGAGAACCGACGGTAGGCAACAAAACATCCCACCTCGCCCCCCAGGTATCGGCCTCGCTCCAGTGCACAACATTCGAAGTGCATTTGGACAGCATCTCGTCCAGATACCTTCGGGCGGACAAAACATTTGGAATGTACAGAGAGCACTGCACGGCCAGATACATTTAGAATCTTCGGGTAGCAATGGAGGGAGGCCTTATGGACGGCCAGGGTCAGCTCGCACGTCGATTGAGAATCTTTTGGGAAGCATCCGATCCCGCTCACACCAACGGCCCCCCCGCAACAAAAAAAAAAAGTGTGATAGAGAAGGGGAGGTGTAGAAGAAAAGAAGAAGAGAAGAAGGGGAATGTGGTGTGGTGTTTTTGAAGCCTCCGGCTTATAACCCAGGAATTTCTTACCCTCCACTCCCCTCCCCCCTCCCCCCCCCATCTTTTCATGATTTCAAACGAGTCCTCCAGGACATTCGCGACTGGCCCAGAAGAACTTGTGGCCAGCAGCTGCCGAATGCCCAGCGATGTGAACCGTTGCCCAAGGAAAAAGGCCAAAAAGAGCTGTTGCCAGAGGGCTTTGCCGCACCACTCACCCCTCACCCCTCACCCCACCCTGGTTTTCGTGACGAGTACTCCGCCACTGGCGTGGGTACAACATGAGAAAAAGGGCCTAGTTGCACTACTCCCCATCCGCCGCAATTGGTGGCGGATGGGTGGAGAGTGAAAAAAAAGAGAATGGTGCCGAACTTGAAGCATGGTTGCACTTAGGGCCTGATCCCACTTCTTATAGGAGAGGCACTTTTCGGTAAATTCTGAGATCCCACCTCTTTCGGCGAGAGCCGGAGGTGGCCCTGCTTTTTCGGAGAAGTGGAAACATTTTTGAAGAAGTGGAAACAGCCTAGTACCTGGCAGTGCGAGTGTGATTTGAGGACCCACAGTTCTTTCAAAAAAACAAAAGAAGTCACCCCCGTACCTTGCACTGTGAAAGAAGGAGCCATTGTTTTTTTCTTCCGTTCTTTCTTCCCTGATGTGCAGGCCGTTGGATCCTCGAGGTGCCACAAGATAGTGCCGCTCCGTTAGGAAAAGTCCTGCAGAAGTAGGGCGGGTGGGATCCGATTTTTATAACACGGAGCGAGCGGGGCAAGCGGGACGGACCCTGGAAAACCGGTTGTTTTAGCTTTCTTCCCAAAATGACAAGAGGTGGGATCAGCCCCTTACTCGCCACAATATTTCTTCTACAGACCACCAGTACTTCCTAAAGTAGTGCCGGTTAATGCGCCACGATTTTAGGAAATGTACGGGCCACTACAGGAGCGCCCAAATTCATCCAGCTATAAACGTTTCTACTCTATTTTTTTCCGCGGCCGATAGTTGGGCCAAGTACTGGTGGTTTAAAAGAAAAATTGTCTGCCTGATCTCGACTCGTGAAGCAGTGATGGGCTTGATGGCAGCTCTAGAATGGTTGAAGAGGCTGATGTGGCGGTCGAACCCCCTGGTGCCCCCCAAAGGTTTTCAAACCGGGCAGGACAGGAGAGGCGGCCCCCGTTTCTCATCTTCTCTCGTAATGTCTGTTTAGTCAATCGCCTGGAACTCAGGGTAATCAATGTTGGCAGGCCCATTCTTTTTTTTTTTCTTTTTTTTTTTTAAGTAGGCCCATTCTCATATTTTCCTGAGTTGTTTTCTTCTATCTGCATGTAGCTACTTTTCCTCCAGTCCTCCGTCTGCGCTTTTTTTTGACGTTGTACCATGCATTCTCCACTAGGGACAAGGTGTCGGGTGGGAAGGGATTTGGGAAATCAGATGGGGGACGGAGTGAAAGGGATGGATCCAGGCCTGTCCTGCTATAGAAGACTAACCTATAGTTCCTTTGTATCCTCCTTGGATCCTCCCCGATCGTCGTGTTCCCATTTCCGTCAGACCCTCCCTCCCATTTGATTGATGCTCTCCACCCCCTTTGCTCTCCCCCAACCATTTCTGACTGAACTTGGCTATTGCCTTTTCTCTCTCTCTTAGGTCATTCAGGAATGTGAACTTGTCCATCGTTGTTTGCCATTTTGTTTGTATAGTTGTTTGTATGTGTTGTTTTATGTGCTCAGTAGCCTCTTCAAGTTGTCCTTCGACCCTTACGTATCAATTGCAAGGGCGTTGTCGAGCGCATTGGCTCCCGCCTTTTTTCGCAATGCAAGAGCCCTCCCGGCCATGTCTTGCAGGAGTTAAACAAAAATAAAATTGAGAGACAACTTGGTAACGATGCAAAATAATCTCACGCACCGCCAAAACGGGCACGGTCGCGTATTCTTCGCCCTTTAGCCAGGTGCGCCAGCCGTACATCCCACGGTCCCCTACGACAGGATAGGTTCTCGTGAGGTACAACTTACCTTCCCTAAGGGGTTGTTACCATCCTTAAGGGCGTATCCTTACCGAGCTACTGACCCACGTGTGAAAGTTTTTAAATGCAATTGCAGAGATGGGTTAACCGAGGGTGTTTGCTCGTTCGTTGTAGTACAGATACGTTTGGTTAACACCAAGTCGACCCGAGCGTCATTCCTTCTTTAGGGCGTTGATCTCCTAAGTACGAAGCGTACGTTGCTCGACTAAGACGGTCTCAACCAAGCGTAAAACCCAAAAGTTAATCCTAGTCCCTTTGACACACAACCAACAGAAAGTCATAATAACCATATATAATTACATCAAAAGGAATCGATTGTAGTCGATAGGAAGGTATGTCCAATATGAAATGATAACTAAAAAAAATTGAATCTTCATATGAAACATCCAATAATACAATATCAAAATAAAATCCGACCACCTCGAGTCGAACTCCATAAATAGAAAAATCATACAGCCGCCAACGAGAAGTTGACTTCCGATAATAACCTCGATGCAACCGACAAGGTAGTCAGACTGCCTTAATTTTGACTTGATGAGACGGGCTGTCAAAGTTATTTATTATACCCTACCGCCGACTTCATATTAGACATACACACATGTCTCCATACGTTTCTGATTTTTTTTTTGATGACTGGGTGTTTTATGAATGATTCTTGATCAGGTGCATTACTTGAAGTGTTGCATGTCTCTCCCTCTAAGAAGTGATATGCGGTACTCCTCGCCCGAGCACAAAGATCGGATCTGAGTAGTTGGTCCGTCTCCACCGAATCGGCAAAGTACCCCCTCACAGAACGGTCCACTTTGGGTCGATAGCAGGGTCGGCTCCTAAAGCAACGAACCCCCGCTCTAGATGCTCCCTAGAGAAGAAAAAAAAAGTTCATTGCAAGTAGTTTTCAATTATTCTCATTTCTCCTAACTTAAAGTTCAGCGTAACTTGGACGAAAATAAATCAAAGGTGATAGAGAATGAGAATCATTTGAACAGATATAGGTAGATAAGGTAATTCGGGATAAAAAAAAGTCAATCACCGGGAAAAGGCTAAGTCCATTTGACCTTATCTGCTTAAATTCAATCGAATGTGTTTTACGATGCGCAGTGAGTTAAAATTTTTCAAAACAACGAAACCTTTTTGACATACAAGCGGATGACAAATAAAAAGAAGACAATTTTGTTTCTCTTTTCTCAAATTGGCATAATATATCTCCTCTGCAGACATCCTTCTACCTACCTGTACGGAACGCAAAGAAAATAAGTTCAAAAGAAAACAGTACAATCTCATACAAGTCAACCCACATTTTCCACATGCATAACATCACACCTTACTCTACCTTTTCCCTGAATCTAAAGTCAGGTCATGCAAAAAAATTCCCATGAGAAATGAAAGTTGAAAAACATTCCATAAAAAAAAATCCTTCATATTTATAAATTATCATTCCAATGTTTGTCCAATTCTAAAATTTTCAATTTAATTTGATAAGTTTCCGTCTAAATATGAGCTTTCCCTTCCAACTATATCTATTTGTTTAAGATGGAATGAAAGTCTGGACGAGTAAATAAAATGTTTTAATTAGACTTTCATTCTACTACAACAAATATCGTCTAATTTAGATTGGATTAACCTATTTATGACTGGAAATCCTTACTTAGAATGACAATCCAATTAAAATATTTCATGAACTCATCCAGACTTTCATTCCATCTCTAGCATGCAGTTCAAATAAGAAGGGATACCCCATTCTTGGAAGAAAAATTTTCAAGTAAGACGAAAAAATTTAAAATTGGAATGACAATTTTTAAGATGGAATGAAAATTTGAAATTTAGAATGTAATTTTACTCTATAATGATTATTTAATTCTGGGAAATTTTTCTGTTGAAGTGTGGGTTCACACAGGTGTAAAGGGGAACTGGGTCATAACTAACCTTGAGTGAAGTTTGAATTGACTCACTCAAGAAAGTTGTGCAATATCCCAATCAAAAGAAGGTGACCGTCGCACAACTCCACGAGTTGTGACATTTCCACAAAGGTGGTCAACGTCCTCTCCCAAGTATTCAAATGAGCAGAGGTTGGACCATAGGAAAAAAAACTCAAGTGAGATAGCCCTCCAGGAGGGCGTTCCCACAAATGAGTTTTCATGTGGTCCCAATGTCCAAACTGATCCCTGCTTAGACCAGTCCCAACAACTCGATTTATCCCAACACAGTCTCAACTGCATTTTAACCACCAAGTATACTCCCCAACCAAACCAAGGATATTCCCCAACCAACCGCAAGTCCAGGCCGCCTACAATCACCACGTTCGCTTAGAATAACCACACCAACATGTCGGTCCCGATCTCAAAATCAGACTCACTAACTGGAAAAAACAATCGGTTGGTGGTTGTCTGATGAGGTCATCCCCGAGCTCCAGGGCACAGAGGCGGCCATGACGTGCAAGAAATCTGAAACACCCACACAATATCTAGGTATACTAGTGACAAAAGACGGAGTCGCCCCCCAAATGGCTCAAAACTTACTCACAAACCAAATCAACAAACTGGGTAGATGAGGCAACACGTCTACGTCCCTGCTGGGCCGGGCGCTGACCATCAATACATCGATCTTTTCAATGATGTGGTACATATCATCTATTAGGACAGTACCGGACTACACAATCAAG